CCGGGCCCTGCGCTCCCCGAGCGCCGCGCGGCCCTGCCCTAGGGCTCCGGTGTCCGCGGGGCGGCGCCGCGGAACATGACGGCGCCCTGGGCGGCCCTCGCCCTCCTCTGGGGATCGCTGTGCACGGGTGAGGACCGGGCGCGGCGTGGGGAGGGTGTCGCGCGGTGTTTACCAACAAAGGGCGGGCCCGCGGCCTCGTCGCCGCGCCACCTGCCCAGCTCGCACCTCCCGGGCGGGAGCGGGGGCGCGCGCGGGTCTCCGGGACAGAGCTCGTCCTCGTTGGCGTCTGCGGGGTTCTGGTTTGCCGAGGGCCCCGCGATGAGGGCCGGGATCCAGAGCGTCGGGGTCGGGGTTCGGGCTGCGCAGATGCGTGGAACCGGGAGAGAGAGTGAGGAGAAGCCGAGCGCGGGGAAGGCAGCCAAGCGAGGCGGGCAGATGTAGTGGGGGGCGGCGGGACTGGTGCAGCTGTGGCCGGGGGAGGGCTGCGCGCCTCTCTACGAGGTGTTGCGACGCTAAGGGGCGGCTTCACACAACCAGCAGGATCCCCTGCCTCATCCCGCCAGGCTGCCCCGCGCTTGGTGCACCGCTGGCTTTGGCGCAGGCTTCCACCTGCGCCTCCTTTCCTTGCTGTGGGCCCCAGATGCAGAGTGCGTTCATCTTTCGGGGCAGCTTTGTTTTGGGCAGCTGGGAGGGGAACGGGCTAAGAAGGAAAACCAACAGGTCTCCGTGCTCCCGGCCTCCCAGAGGCACGTGGCCGGCGTGGGTGACCCGCCTTCGCGCTCCGGCAGCCGCGGGCGTGTGGATCGCAGCGCTTGCACCCATCGGGTTGCGGAGATGGATACTTGCAGGTGGATGGTCACGGAGTTGCGCAGGGAAAGCGCCTTTCCCTCTCAACCTGAAGCACCTATTTCCTCCTAGTGGGCTGGGGCGTGCCAAGCCGGGTGGGCGCGCTGAGACTGGCTGGGGTAGTCCTGAGAAACTGGGGGAGCGCCGCCTCGAAGCTCCGGCGAGAAGTTCGGGGCAGCGGGGGCGGTTGGTGCCCGGCGGCGAGGCGCTGGGTCCAGTGCGTCTTTGTTCCCAGCCCCCATTACACATGCAGTGCGGGTCCCCTGCAGCCCGAGGTGGCGGCAGCGCGGAGTCCGGGAAACCCGTGAGAGGCAGGGATCCTCAAGCTGTTGCTGGGGTGGGGACCGGGGATGTCCGCTGCGTCCCCACCCTCTCTCGGCTCCCTTCTTGGGCCGGTTGATGAGATTCGATGAGACTCGTCGTTTAACACTGAGAGCCAGAAGCTTCTCGCTCGGGACTGGAAAGCTAGAGCCCGAGTGCGGGCACCAGGGCAGGGACAACTTTGGCACCTGGACACCCTGTGGGAAGGGACGTTGTGGCTATCTTGGAGCCACTTCCTGGGTGTGGAGACAAAGTTGTGTTCGGGTTGAGTATCTTGATCCTTTCTGATCTCCTGCTTTTTACGTGCTGCTTTAGAGAGACGCTTTCCTCCAACGGAAAGGAGGACTTGAAGAAAGGCAAGTTGTAGGCTGCCCCAAAGCCAGGCAGTAGCCCGTCTGGCTGCCTCTGGGCCATCTGGGCTCCTAATTCTGGATCAGTCTGGACCCTTAAGTCCTGTGGGGAGCCTTCTCAGGACTGAACAGGCCTCAGATGTGGGATGTGGGACCCCTTCCTTCCCCCAACCGGTTGCAGTCTAGTTCCGGGTCTCACCTCCCTCATTAAGTATAAGCAGGGTGAATTAGAGCCCAGGGGCCATGTTTTTTGCCTCTTCACCCCTTGGGCAGAGCTGAACAGAGTAGGTATCTGGTTAGGGGACAGCTGAAGTCAGACTCCCAGACCTGTGCTCCTGCCCTGGGAGGAAGTGGAGTCAGTGGATTTTTCTTGTGGCCACCCCAGCCACTGCTGTGGCTGGCTGCTGCCCTGTCCGGAGAAGAACTACGGGAAGATCTGCCCTGGATCCAGGCTGGGCAGAGCTGGCCTTCCTGTCCTTTGGCTTTACAGTGGGTTTTCCTTCATCCTCCTGGTTTGCTGGTTACCTTATTCCCACCCCCTGCAGCATACAGTGTCTTGGTAGAAGGAAGATGTAGAATAAGGCTATACAACAAAAACATAGAATCAGCCATATGTAGTACATGTAAGTTAAAATTTTATAGTAGCTATGTTGATAAAAGGAATAGCTGTATTTTATTTTATTTTATTTATTTATTTTTTTTGAGACAGGGTCTTGGTATGTAGTTCAGGCTGGCCTTGTACTTACTGTGTAGCCCAGGCTGCTGTTGAACTCAATGGCAGTCCTCCTGCCCCAGCCTCCCAAGCACCGGAATTATAGGCCTGCACTGCCACACCTGGCAGGAATAGCTGTATTTTAATCTGCTGTGGCTTCCTTAACAAATTATCAGACTTGGGAGGCTTTAACAGCAGTACTGTATTTTCTCATGGTTCTGGAGGCCAGAATTCCGTGGCATGGTCAGGATTCTCATCCTTGTTTCCAGACTGTTGCTTCTTCTTAGGACCGACAGGTGGAGGGAGCACTCGTCCTCTTTTTTTATATGGGCACTAATCTCATCACAAGGGCCTCACTCTCTTGAGCGAACAACTCTGATTACCTCCCGAGAGCCCCATTTCTAAATACTACTATGTTGTGGTTTAGGGCTTTCACCTATGATATTGGGGAGGACAAAAACAGCCTTTTTCATAACGAGGCGGGATTAATTTTGACAGTCAATTTTGTTTCATTTTGACATGTATTTACTATTAAAACAGTTAATGAGACATTTGACAGTTTTTGTCTCTTCAAAATCTTGTATTTACACTTATAGAACACTTCATTTCCTACGTGTTGCATTTCAATTACTCTGATCGTAGTTGGCTAGTGTCTTCCATAATGGACAGCATAGGCCCAGAAGGCATTTATGCTGTAAATCAGTGGCTGGTCAGTTCTGCAGTCTTTTGTGATCTGTGTGGACCAATGTCCTTGGCTTTGCATTTCAGTGGACATCCCACATACTCTGTAACCTGCAAGATCCCCTGACAGCTTTCTCTTACTTAGACGTCAGATTGGAGGGCCTGTGAGGCAGGGTGGAGGGATGTCCCACTTGGAATGTTAGGAGCCTTTGGCTGGGGCGGATCCTATCAAGTCCTGACTGACTGTCCTGATCTCCACTCATAGGCTGACCACTTTCTGACACAAAGATGTCTCTTGTCCATTTCCCCAGACAGGAAGGGTGTTGTGACTTTCCACTTTCTGGTACAGTGTAGTGCTAGTTGCCAAGGACATGGACTACAGAGCCATGGACCATGAGTACCCTTCCCCAGGCAGGGAGGGTATCCTCTATTACCTGCCCTTCTGCCTACCGGGCACTCAAGGCTGTCTTGCAGACTGGGTTGCTCTTTGGGAGGAGTATGCACCCACTGTAGCTCTTAGAGGCCCTTCCAAAATGTAAGACATTCACTTGTCTTCTCTATTCCTGGCTAGGTAAAATTGTGAGATCTAGAACCCTGAGGTACCCTGTGTGGGCTTCTGTAGTATACACTCTCTGGGTCTTTTGGGGGCTTAACACTCCCCTAGAACTCCTATATCTGCCCTGAAATGTCACCTAAGGAACACTCTGCAGGAGATCAGTGAAGAGCCCCCATTTTAACCTGTGGACCTTTATGTCACAGGCCCCTCTGTAGTCTAAAGAAAGCTACTATCTTTCCCCAAGAAATATAAATCAGTATCTATATGTTTGTGTGCGTACTTTTTTTTGTGATCCTGCTGGGGGATTGAATGTAGGACACTTATGCAGAGGAACACCCCAGCCACTTTAGTTTCTTTTTAAAATTGAAACCAGGTCACTAGGTTACTAAGTTGACAGAGCTGGGCTTGAACTTGTGGTCCTCCTGCCTCCGGCTCCCAGAGTGTTGGGATTATAGGCATGTGCCACCACACCAGGCTATATATATATATACCATCTCTGTTTTCCATACTGATGGGGCTTTCCTTTTCAAGTCCTGGCTGTTCCGTACATAACAGCTGTTTTGAGGGGCAAATTGGTTGTGCATTGGGCATGTTCCCACCTGGCTACCTCTACTTAACCCTGTTCTGGCACTGAGCATGTCCTCTCCTTTACATCTGCACTTGTGGTTCTACCTGTTATTCAGATCCTAGCCCTGGTCTCTTCTAGAAGGCCACCTTCTTGAGTGCCTGTCCATTTAGCCCCCTGCTGGGAGCTCAGAGAAGTGTAAGTGGGAACTGAAGGGCATCAAGTTGTGTGATTAGTTGCCCAGGTACTGACCTATCCCCTTGGGCAGGAATCTGGGGACCCAAAGGTAGAAACAGTACTTTTGAAGGTGACTTTGGATGGTTAGCCCTGAAGTAGGGCCCTCCTTCTGGAATAGTGCTCAACCTTTGCCACTGTTGACTGGGTCTGGTGATTCTTTGTTGTGTAGGTGTAGGATGGTGATAGTGGTGCTGTCCTATGCAATGTAGATGTTTAGCAGCATCCCTGGCTTCTACCCACTCATTCCAGTAGCTCCTCTCTTGTAACAGCTGAAAATAATTGTAAGACATTGTGAAAAGTCCCTGGAAGAGGTAGGAGCAAAATTACACTCAAGTTGAGAACCAGGGGTCTAGAATATACTCTTGCTTTTAAAGAAGCAGACAGTTGAGAAAGATGGGAGTAAAGGCTGTGAGTGCACATCCATCTTCTTCCCTCAGATTTGGGGTTGGAGGTTGGATTTCGCTCGACATCCACAAGAGTGTCGCTAAACCTCTGTTCATTTGTGTGAGTTTGGTTCAGAATTAATGGTTTGGGTGTACCGCTTGCCACTGAGGAGAATGCTGGCGTCCTTGAGTTTTCCCAGAAGTGGTTCAGGTTTCAGGGAGGCGGCTGTTGTGGGTGGCCGGGCAGCCTGCCTGCCCGCACCCGCCCACCCGGTCTGCCCATTGCCTTGAGCCTGGCACTCATGCCTCTCCCTCCAGCACACATAGAATGTCAGGAAGTGCCTGTTGCCCAGGCCTCTCCGCCCGCCTGGCACCCATCTCTCCTCACCTGGGAACCCCACGAGCTGAGCCGAGGCTGACCCCGTCTGCCGAGAGGAGCGCTGGGGTTGTAGCAGGACGCAGGCATGCCCTTTCCC